TAAGATAACGAGAATAAAATCATATAATTACGAAATTAGAGCTGAAAATTAGGAGAATGAAGTCATAATATTCGAAAAAAAAATTCATAAAATTACAAGAATAAATTCATAAAATGACAAGAAAATTCGTAAATTACATGAATGAAGTCATAAAATTACGAGAATACAGTCTTAAAATTATGAGAATAAAGTTTTAATATTATGAGAATAAAGCCCTAAAATTACGAGAAACGTTTTATGAACTCTTACAAGAAGCCCTTTCTTCCTTAAAATGAGGAATGTTCAGCATCATGCGAAGTTAAAAAAAATCTGCATATAAAAAAATTCAACCTTTTAAAATTTAAACTCAATATTTTCAGCCTCCTGAGATTCAAGTGGCTCTATTTCACTGTCTTAAATTCGGCGTCTAAATTCAGTGTAAAAAGGGAAGGGGTTAGGGAGATTCATATGAGCGAATGGACTAGGACCACACTGAAAATTTGGAGGAAAATAAAGATAACTTATGGAAGGCCTAAATCAATCTCAGCACTAACCAACATTGGTCTTATAAATGATTTTGTTCCCTCACAGATGGACCCAGGATTCAGAAATTGGTCAAAACGAGGCCTTATAAATCTACACCAACTTCACAAAGATGGGAGTCTTAAATCATTTGAACAATTAAGAGTGGAATTTACACTCCCTAATACAGATTTTTTTAGGTATTTACAACTAAGGGACTTTTTAACAAAACACAGAGAGCGGACTAAAATCCTAGAGCCCACTAAAATTGAAGAATTCCTGATAAAACTNCATATGAAATAAAATCTGTTAATTATATTTATACAGGTTTATAACTAGATCTATTATGATGCATTTTTATTGGTTAGTTAATTCCAAGGTTTTTAGTGCGTTGATGTCAAGCTGTCAAAAAAATGTCAAAAGGGTCATGATTTATGAGATTGAACTAATAACAGTCATAGAGAGTCCTCTATGATAATGACAGGTGTTCTGTCCTAATTATGACAGTCAGTCTGATCCACAGGCCTCCAAATCCAGTGCTAATGATTCGTTTTCAAATGAACAATCTGGTCTAAATCTAGAATCTGTTTGAAACTGTCAAACATCTCAGTCAGTGAGGTGAGTGTGCGCTGGCAGAGCTTAGTTTAAGTGCATTCAGGGATCAGAAAAGGACCTGATGTCTCAGATTTTCTGCTTTCTAGTAAAAAAACAAACAGACTAAAACTAGATCTAATGGGCTTATGTCTGAAATCGACCATCTGCAACCAGAACGCTGGAAGAAAGAGGTTTACCTTCTTCCTGGGTCTGAGTTTCTCCCTCCACTCCTTCAGCTCCACGCTGTGCTCCTCATCGAGCTCCTTCAGCTTCTGGGTCTCATGTTCGATGAGCAGGTGACACTTTTCATTCTGAAAAACCAGCCTGACATTAGTTCCTCATCCCTGAATTAAAGCTAGGTTTGGGTCGGCTTAAAGCGGAGATCTGACCTGCAGCTGCTGCAGCTCTCGGATGTTGGCGTCGCACTGCAGCTGCAGGTCTCTCATCTGGTTTTCATGCTTCTGCTGCTGATGGAGACGCTCGTTCTTCTGCCTCTTCTCCTCCTGCGCAGCAAACTGGAGACACAGTCTGCGTCATCAACCTGTCTGCTAGTCATCTAGCGGCTCTCTGTGATCCGACGCTGCCGCCTCACCTGTTTCACCTTCTCCCTCTCCTGCTCGGGGGTGATCAGAGCTCCCGTGATGCGTAGGCTCTTCTTAAACATGGCCATGCGTGTCTTGGCCTCGCTGCGTTGGATTTTGGGCAGCCGGGCTCTCTCCTGGGTCTGCTTGTTCTTCAGCTCCTCGATCAGTCGCTGGTTGTAGCGCTGCATCTGCTCCATCTCCTGGAAGCAACATAAACCAAATGGTGTTAATACTCGGAAACCAGCAGAATGTTTTTATTTATCCTGTTCTGTCACTTCAGAGCAGAGCTTTGTCATCCAGATGCACATAAGGGACCCTGGAGGAGGCCGTTCAGGTCTGCAGCGATGCTTCATACCTTCTCATGTCTCTTCAGCAGCTGGTGTCTCTGCATGAAGTACTGATCTTTGAGCTGCTGCTTGAACAGCTGGTGTTTCTCCTGCAGGTGGCGTTCTTCCAGCTCCCACATCGCAGCCTCTCTTGCTGCGTCCAGACACAAGAGAAGAAGACGCAGATAGACATTTATTAAAGAGACTTTCCATTCAGAGCTACAATGGAGTATAAGGGCCAGGACAGAGATTTTTTTTCTTCTATTTAGAGAATAATA